GAGTCATTGATCGAGCCCGCAACCCGGGCATGTGCCCTGACCGGGAATCAAACCCCGATTGCCTGGATCCTAGGTCAACGCTCAACCGCTGAGCCACGCCTGGCCGGGCGAGAGAGAAATATTGATGTCAGAGAACCTCCTGCTCTAGCCCGACAGTGCCAGGGATTGAGCCTGCAACCGAGGCATGAACCCTTGACCAGAATTGAACCAGCAACCCTTCAGTCTGAGGGCTGACGCTCTTAACCACTAAACCAAACTGGCTAGGGCTCTTTGAGTGTTTTTTAAAATAAAAGAGATACCTTAATCTTTTGCCATATTGCCTAAACATTTTTTTAGTCTGTTCTTTGTCTTTTGACTTCAATTGAATATTATCTCCCATATGTAGAGGTTTTTAAAATTTTTATTTGGACAAATAATTCTCCCTCTGTGTACCCCCGTGTCTTCCTCTTAAGTGAGTCTGAGAGAAGTATTCAGTTCAGTTTCATTTAATTTTTCCTTTTTTTGGTACTTTTCAAAAATGTAATCATTTTTTAAGTTTTCTTGCTTTTTATTAAAGGACAGATAAAAAGAAATATTGACAATTATTGTAGATCAGGGAGATATTCACAAATGATATTCAAAAGCATTGTTAGATGGCTCTGTTAAGAGGAATAGGGCATTCAGACAGCTTTTGATGAATGTAGATGGTTTCATTTATTCAGAGACCTTTTTTTCCTGGCTTATTCTATTCATTTGCCATATGTTACTAGATGTAGAGTATGGGAACTTACTGGAAACTTATTATTGTCCTCTTCCTAATCCTCTTTCTTTTCTATCTGACTTCACTTTGATCATGACTTTAGTTGATAAATTTATTAAGCAGTTGTAGTCTCAGGATACATTAAGTATTTTTAAGTCAGCTATGCAGTTCTGTACATTTTCATGAGCAATATGAGGTTAATAATGTTTTATATAATCCAATATATCTAAAGTATTATCGAAACATCAGTATAAAAAATTGAGATACTTTATTCTTTTTTATACTAAATCTTTAAAATTTGATGTGTATTTTATACTTGTAGCACATCTGAATTTGAACTAGCTACTTTTCAAGAGCTCACTCTGCAGTCACATGTAGATAGTGGCTACCATATTGAACAGCCCATTTTTAGAGCCATTGTAAGAGAGGAATGAGGAAAGGATAGTGTGTTAGAAGCTAGAGACCAGGGAGGGAGTGGGCTACAAGGGCTGCATGCAAGTGGGTCTAGCTCCCTGAAATAGGGCTGGCTTCAATGATGTTTAGAGTTAGACCACCTCCCCACACTACAGTACTTTGGGGGCATAAAGAAAAGCATGAATGTTCAAGAGACCCAGATCAAAAGGCCGGGAAATGGCCACTCTTAGGGATATTTTTAATCAGTGTTTATACTGTTTTCTCATTTCAGTCTTCGTAAATACCTCTACGTCCAGATTTCCTTTAGTCTACTCTTTGACTCAGTGTTTATATACATTTTAGACTGTTGGCTGCTAAACATAGATTGGCTATTTTGAACCACTGGCATAAATGAGAGGTTACCTTTTAATTTTAGAATTATAGCCTTTGACAGAATGAATCTAAGCACTTATTCTGTGTTTGAATTCCTTCTCTGACTTCCTGACAAGTGTTTAAAAAAGAATCCTTCTAAGTTGGTCAGAGTTGTCATAAAGGAAAAAAAAATGTGCAAAAAAAAAAAATTAATAAGATACCTAAAATATATTTGTTAAATGTGTTATAAATTGTGCTTGAAAGAAAAAAGTAAATGTAACATAATCTAATTAAGGAAACTAATTCAATCAGTAAATTTTTTTGTGTACCCAGTCTATTCTACATTCCATAGATCACTGTTCTACAAACTGGTCTCAAGTGATTATGGGTCATGAAATCAGATAGGTAGGTTGTGACTAGCACTTCAGAAATACAGTAGAACATACAGTGTATCACAGCTAGTAAAGGTAATATTTTTTTGTTTGAGTTATATGTGTGTATTGTAGATCCCTTAGTAAAATGGTTTTTTTGTTTTGTTTTGTTTTGTTTTTACTGTGGCCACGGTAAAATAAAATTTGAAAACCATTGACATTGATGAGGAGACATACTTTTGATCCTCAAAGAATTGTAGCCTAATGGTGAAATAGACAATTAAGATTGAAAACTCACCAATTAAACTTTTGAATAATCTAATAGCAAATTTTAACCGAATAGAAGAAATCAAAGTCTATCCTTTCTTACTCATGCATAACTGTGACAATTAAGATAATTTAATTAATAATATTCAACATTTGATGGTAGAACAGCTTATTAGGTATTTATATGAAAATAGTAGCTATAATAGTTATATTTTAGTTATTAGCTGTGATAAATATCTATTAAACAGTATAATCAAATGATTTTTAAAAAAATTTTATTAACAGGCTGAAAATGAACTAAGTCTGGCGAGAAAAATGATACAGTGGAAACCATGGGAGCCTTTAGTGGAAGAGCCTCCTGCCAACCAATGGAAATGGCCAATATAATCATCAAATGTGTTGAAGGGAAACTGATGTAATTAAATGTTCTCTTATATCAAAAATGTTTCCATATTATTACATCTTATATTCCAGAAAACTGATGACGCAGATCATATTTAGGAGACTTGTTAAAACTGATAATTACTGTAATAGGGACTTGTGAATTTGTTTTTATTGAAGTATTCATTCAAATTATTTCAAAGATGAGATTTTCTAATACAGAGGTTCTAGGAAGATTTGAAAGTTAATTGGAAAAGTTCCTATATGTTTCAGTGCACAGGCCATATATTTGATAGGTGAAATATTTTTAGTAGTATCTTCAACACATTTAATTTTTTATTCTGAAGAAACTGGAAAGGAACTTATTGCTTAAACAATTGTATAGGTCACTGAAGTGAAATAAAAACCATTAAGTTAGAATTCACTGTACAGTTGAGGGAATTGATTTTGTATTTGAAAGAAAGATTTCTTATTTACTGTGGTAGTTGGAAAACTTTTTTGGGTCTCATTTAAGGAAGTTAGGTTTCTGGTCCTTAATCAAACTACATTGGGATAGGGAATTTCTGTAAAAGAAGAGATTAAGAGTTTCTAAAGTTTATCTGGCATATGGATAGGCTTATATTCAAAACACCTTAGTTGTATGGTTATAACTTCCAAGTGGAATCACTAAGTAGTTTTTACTAGGTTTCCAATATGAGTGTAGCTGGGTCTCAAACAGAAGATAAGGCTGTTCAAGGAAAGAAGCAATTGACAAGTTTAAGGTTAAACAAAAATAAAATTACTTTTCAGGCATTCCTCACCTTTTTAGCCCCATATCATTTCTAAAAACTTAGTTAAATTTGGTATTTCTTAACCTTCAAAGATAGTACTTTTGGGTGTTTGTGTATGTGCATGTGCATTTTGCTATGCTAAGTGGAGGCAACTTGACCTTTCAGAGTGGCCTATTTCCTTCTCTGTAAAAGAAGTAGAATTTGTGATTTATAATTTCCGTCTCACTTCCAGACATTTGCTTTAATATATGATATATTTGTTGAGATCAAAATATATGATTGATCCTAAGGCATGCTTGCATAGATGCTTTCAGGATAATTTTTAACCAACCAAAAAACCAGAAAGGTGGCTTGATATGCCTTTGTCATATTTTCAGCCCCGCTTCTCCCATGATTCTTGGACATCTTATATATTTCACCAACAGAGCCAATAAAAGGGGACCTTATTGATGTTTGCATTAGAACTGTTGGTAGTAGTATAGTAGTAGTTATAGTAATAATGTAACAACAATAGCTAATATTTATTAAGGTTTGCCAGGCACTAAGTACTTGACTGATTTCACTTATTAAATCTGCACTACAACTAAGAGTGAGATCCTGAAAATTATCTCCATTTTACAGATAAGGAAACCAGAATCTAATGTGAGTAGTGCTCCCCTGCAATTGCGCAATATGGGAATCCTGGAGAATTTGAGGCAAAGTGATGGAGTAATAACATACCCAAGGTCACATAAGTAGTAAGATAGGGAGCTACATTTTGAACCTAGACAGTCTTGCTCCAGAACTCATGCTTGTAATCATTTTATTATTCCTTATGAATACTTGAGATGTTACTCCTGTCTGTACTATATGGGCTGTACCAAAAGAACCTAGATCCTGCTTTCTTGAGTTTTTCTGTCAGAGTACATGTAAAGAATTAAATATGAATAGAAGTAGTAAGCTGGATATTGCTTTGTGCAAAAACCTTCACATGGATCACATGCATCATGGTAATTGGTAGGTAGCTAAAAGGCATTCTTTTACCATAACTGCCATTCTAACTGCCCATACCACCTTACACTCAATTGTTTTTACTCTTTCAAATGTTTTCCAGTTGCTTCCTATAAACTTCCAGATTAAGTTTTTCTGACCAATTGCAGATGGTTCTTCTACTTAAAAATACTCAGTGTTGCCGAGTGGTGTGTAGACTAATTTGAGTAATTTTCAGAATGGCGCATTTCAAATCTCCTTAGGTTCCTCATATGTCTTATTCAATGACCATACTCCAGATACTTTCAATTTGAGCTTTGTAAATGAAAATGGCAGCACAATCACCCCCTTTCTACTATCTGTGGACTAGATGCAGAATATTCAAATTTGTGGACATGCTTTCCTTTGGGGAAAATGACTTTTATCTTTATAACTGTATGATTTTTCATTGAACCTGTAATGATTTTGAGAGTGAAAGGAAGTTATTAATTTTACAAGGATAACAGGTGTAAGTCATGCCTGCCCTGGGCTAACAGGATATGTGGCCCCAACTCTGAGTAAGGATCAACTGTGAGGGTCACCGTCTCTTCTATACCAGGAGAAGTTGGCGTAGTCTGTCATCCGAATAGAAGGAATATGATGCCATTAGTGGCAACCATCATATGCGGTCAGTCTTCACTCCATTATTCCCCTCCCCCACCTTTCCCTCAGAATTTGGGGATGGAAGATTATTTTGATTGTGGCATTTCCTTTACTAATCCTAAAGTGCAGTAAGAGAGGAGAAGGTAATTGAGGTTTTTGTTGTTATAATGCAAAGCAGGTTTATTTGCATGGACAACAAGGATTAGGATACTAGATAAAAAGGAAAGAAAGCAGTCTGTCAAATGGAGAACAAGATTCTTAAGAAGCTGACTTTGGGACTTACTACAGTGGGAAGAATTCCTGAATTGCCTTTATGATTTCACTTGTGAAATCTAATAAAATAGAAACATACAGAAAACAGACTAACACCTGTCGGGGGGAAGGGGACTTGGGCGGGCTGGGTGAAAAAGTTGAAGGAATTAAGAAAAAAAACCCCTTATAGACACAGCAGCATGATGATTATAAGGGAAAGGGGGTTGAGGGGAGTTAGAAGTAGGGAAAGGAGGGATAAGTGGGGACAGAAAGGGATTTGACTTTGGATGGCGAACACATAGAACAGTATACACATGATGTATTATGGAATTGTACACTTGAAACCTATATAATTTTATTAACCAATGTTACCCCAATAAATTAAAAAAGGAAGTCTCTTCACCTGATGTTCAGCAGGCTTTTCAGACAGGCCTTTCCACTGGGCCAGTTCTAATTCCTTCTGACAGCCAGGATGGTATTCTAGATAGTCTGTATTCTTCTGTTTACCCACGAACTCTCCCAAGAAATCTAAGAGTTCATTTTCACTATTCTCAGAAGCCAAGAATTCAGATCTTACAAGGAAGGCATTGTTTATTTAACATGTTATCCAACTATAGAGCACTTTTGATCTACAGCACTTCCCCAGTTCTCTATATCAGGCCTCATGTTTTCTTTTTCAAAGAGAGAAAATCAACAATGTTCTGTATAAGAACATTCTCACATCTAGGCTAATATCAGCTTTTTCTTTTTCTTCCCAGCCTCTATAGTTATATAAAGAAACAGAAGCTAAATAAACTTCGTATGCAAGGGTATTCTGGGGTCTAGGGTAAAGTACCAAGTCACTGAACATACCATGAATATTTGCATCTTAGCAGAATTTCCTTTGAAACTCGGTACTCAATGGGATTGCAGCCAATGCTACAATATTAGTAATTCTCTTTCAGAAAAAAAGTAAATGAGAATATAGGAGTTTGGTTTAGAGGAGTATGAATTAGGTTTATTTTAAATAGAATTCTCAAGAATCAGTGGGAATGTGATATCAGATTTGAATTATTGATGGGAACTAGAGAAATTTATTCAAACATCTTTATGTAGAGTTAATAAGCCAAAATTTTAGTTAGTGAAAGAGAGAAAAGTAGTTAATTAGCATAGGCTATCCCTAAATCCAAAAGTCTTCACACAACCAAAGTTTGTTTCTTATACTACATGTCTAGCGAGGGTTGGCAGTGCTCAAAATAGTCACAGAAGGGATCTGAGCTGAGGATGGTGCCATTTCAAGACATGCTTCCATAAACAGACGAGAGGGAACATGGCACATCACACATAGAATCAAAGAGGAAATAAAAGTTAAAGAAACTTGTGAATGTGCTGTAGAACTCATAAAGTTATCTTGCCATGCATTGCTAATAATGTTCAAAGAGATCTTTAGGCCCAGCCGGCATGGCTCAGCAGTTGAGCATAGACCTATGATCCAGAGATCTCGGTTCGATTCCTGGTCAGGGCACATGCCCGGGTTTCAGGCTCATCCCCAGTGGGGGTCCTGCAAGAGGCAGCTGATTAATAACTCTCATTGATGTTTCTATCTCTCTCCTCCCTTCCACTCTCTGAAGTCAATGAAGACATATATATGTGTATATATATATCTATATATGTCTATATATTTTTTAAAAGAGATTTTTAGGTCTATATTAGCTAATTTTTTGCAGTGTGCTAAATATAATTTATGGTGGATTGTCTTCTTTCTGTGACTGTAAATGAAAGCATTTCAGAGATTCTTTTTTTGGTATTTCTCATAGTCACAAATATGGGTGTGTGTTTTTCAGGTGAACCTTTAGGCATTTCTAATGGTACACATTACTATTTTATGATATAATATTTCACTTTACTCTCTTTTTTTCTGTAACAGGAGGGCTGAGTCTTTTTCTCAGGGTAAAACAGTTCCAAAACTCCCTATCTAAATTCCAAACTCCAAAAATGTTTGAAAACAATTTTTTTTCACAACTCATTAGAAGCAGAATCTGACCAGAATTGACATAAGGCTATTTGTAGTCTTTATCCCACTTTAATGTGAATATGAATGTATTTTACCACAGAAGTATTAATGTATTTGATTCTACTTTTATGATTCTATTTCTCCAGACCCACTGAATGTGTCACAGAATATATAGCATATACCCATATTAGCTTTCAAAAATGAGGAAAATCCTGAATTTCAAACATACCTGTCCCTTATGGGTGGGTATAGATGGGACTATGGAAGTACTATCTGTATTTCTAATCTCTTAACTAGTTCACAGAGGTATTAAGATTCAAAGGTAATCCATATAGATGATTTCCAAAGGAAAATTTTAAGTCCTGGGTTTTCTAAGTTATAATGTTTTTTTCTAATTCGTTCATTTATATCAAGTTACATTTTAGTCAGAAATAATAATGGAAAATACTTTGAAATGCTTGATTTCATAAAGCCATTAGGTGGCATCTTTGTAAGAATAAAGCACAGGGGCTGGGAGGAGGGATGTAAAGGTGTTGGGGGGGGAGGGAATTGGGGGACATCTAATTCCGTCAACAACAAAGTAAAATAAAAATGAATAAATAAAAGCCAAACAATAAAACAATGTTTATTGTATAATAAGTGCTTTGATAAATGAAGGTAAGTGTTTCATCAGAAATAAAGATGTTATTTTGGACAATAAATCCCAAGAAAATGTACAGGTTTATTGTGGAAAGTAAATAGAAAATGATGTAAAATGACTTTTCCACTTTCAGAATTGACTCTTTTCCCATTGTTTGTTTTCAGCTTGCATTTACATTTATTTTATATAACCAAATAACTACTGTGTATGTGTATGTGTGTGTGATTTTGATGTGCTAATAACCTTTCCAACCTGCATAGAATGGAGTACCTGGGAAGCCCACCAATTACTAGTAAACTTAGGATATACTTTGAATTTGGAGATGGGAGTGGGGGAGTATTTGGAAGTACTTGTCTGCACACCTTCAATCACACCTGGTTTACCCATAAAAGACTAACCCTAGTGGTTATCTGAATGCTCTTCCCCCCTTTTCTCTGCTCTTCATGAATATGTGGATTCATGCAGTGGTTTAAATGCATTTGCTTTTATTTAAAACCATTATTAAAGCCAGTTTTATCTGAGAATATAATATGTATTTTGTATTGTACTAGTAATAGATATATATTTTAAAATAGGATGAAGACTAAAAAATGACATTGAATAGTAAGAAGTTATTGGGAGATGAGAGTACAGTTTTAGTAGAATGATGTAAAGGAATGAAAACATTTAATATGAAGGAGGAATGAATAGTATATATCACAAAATTTTTAATTTTATTAATCTTATATCCTTTTAAAATAGGAAAGGATGTTAAACGTGATAGCATAGATTAGTGGTTTAAAATAGAGGTTCTGGAATCATACTGCTGGGTTTAATCCTGGCTCCCACTCTAAACCTTAGTTTCCTCATTAGTAAAATGGGGCGAATCACAGTTCTTCCTTAATAAAATCATCGTAAGGGTTAAATTAGAAATATGGGCAAAGTGCTTAGTTAGAAATAATAATAAATGTTAGCTATTATTTTAAGGAAGCCGCAATAAGTTTGTTATTAGGAACATACATGATCCTTTCCCCCAGTTCTTTATAAACATCAATTTAAAGAACTTACGGTGATAGAAAAAACAAAAAACCCCCACCAAAACTCTCTACAATTTAGCGATTAACAAAAGCTTTGCTTCTCCTGACTTAAAATGGGAGTTATTTAATAGCTCCTGACTCCCTTTTCTCTTTGATTGCCCAGAAGCTAAGCCAAGTTCTAAATCTAACAAAAGCAAGCAGGCTCTTACAGTTGTATATCTGAGTTCTCCTTTGTCACGATCTTCATTCTCATTTCATATTTAAATTTTCTATAATCCTGGCTTCTTATATCTATAAGCGTAAATTGCTTTCAGTGTTTGGTTCGGAGGACTCTGCTTCACAAGAGTAAAAGGGATCTGGGGAGTGGTTAGAGTCCGATTCGCTTTCAGATCTAACCTGCAGGTAACAACTGGCCTTTCCCCTCTCCC